GGCGGAGCTGGCAGCCCACGCGCCCAGCGCCACCGCGCAGAGCATCGCTCACGGCACGTGCCGGGCAGGAGCTGGGGGAACAGCATCCCGGCGCTTCCCGGCCTCCCCGTCCTGCCATTTAATCCTGGCTGCTGGAAGAGCCCAGCTATTAACATCCCTGTAGTCTGGGAGGGATTAATTGGAAAGGCGAAGAGAAATGCTTCGTATCCAGCTTGCCATGGGTCGGGGAGACTGGAGCCACTGCCGACCCTGGGACTGGCCCCATGGTGCCACCATCCCTGTCCCACCAGGTACCCTGCACTGCCGGGGGTTTTAGGGCTCCTGTGAATCCCTGTGACCCATATTTCCTACTTTTTTCCTAAAGACATGAGTGCTGCTTTTGCAGTGCCAGGAAAACCTGCAGCAGTGAGTGCAGCAAGCAGGGAAGCCCCCGTGCCCACTGCCCCAACTCGGGGTTTCTACCCCAACCTCAGGGTTTTGCTGCAGGACCTGACGTGGGGTTGGACGGATGTAGGTGTCCCAGACCCCCTGGAGGATGGGCACCCCCAGCCACTCCTGATCCCAGTGCCCATAGCTCCTCGCTCATCCATTTATTGGAGCTAAATCGAACGGCGGGGAAGAGGGAGCCGTGGGAAGCAGGATGCGGCACCCGGGGACGGGATGCACCACACCGGCAGAGCGCACGGCTTCACACCCCCAGTTGCATTCGCGGTTTTTGGCTCCTCTGGGCCTTTTTTAACAGAAACCAAATGTCTATTTGTGCTCCGTGAAGCACAAGCAAGACCCTGTGGGCCCAGAGGGTGGAGGGGACACGAGGTGCTGGGTGCAGGTGCAGGACACCCAGGGGTACAGCGCGCTCTCCATAGCCCCGTCCCAGTCCCAGTTGGGTCCTTCAGGGGGTCTGCACAGGCCGGGCACCCCCATGTTGGGTGTTTGACCCCACTGGCTGTTTCACAGCAGCAGGGCTCTGCTCCCCTTGCCAGGCTTCTCCCGTGCTTCCCAGCCCCATGACGGATCTTCTCAGCCTGGGGGAAAAAATCCCCCCTTGGTTCCGTCTGAATCCAGCATCTCCTTCCCCACAAATGCAGGAGTCCCCCCATCGCACTGGGGGTTCACGGGGTGGTGCGGGCAGCACAGGGGGTGCCAGGCACGGAGCTCAGCCCCATCTTGCTGCAAGAAACCCCTTCGAAAGGAGAGGTGTCCTGTTCCTCGGCCATGGGCAGCGGCGCAGGTCCCTTCCCTCCCCGGGCACTGGGGCTGACCCCAACCCCAGTGGCTGCCTGCTTCGGAGATGGGGCATTCATCCCAGATGAGACAGCGTGTCCTAGTTTTAGCACTGGACGGGTACGTCATCCGCAGGGCCACATGTAGGAACTATGTCCGTGTCCGCCCCCCCCCAGCTGCCATTTCAGGGTGATGCTGGACCCGAAGCCCAGCAGCCAGCCCTGTCCCCCCAGCCCCAAACCCTGGCACTGCTGGGTCCCAGCCCCACAGCCCCTGTCCCTTGGTCCCCCGGGCCAGGCGTGACCCCGGGACCCTGTCTCCACGGCCTCCCTCCAGCAGCCCAGGCAGCGGCTCTGCCACCGGGATGCTCCGCTTCTCCCTTTTTCACACCTTCCCCTGCCAGCTCCGGGCTCTGCTGCTGCCGCCCTCCCTCTCTTCAACACCTCCTCCTCCTCCGAGGCATTTTATCTCCTTTCTAGAGAGAAGAGTGTGGGCTGGGGATTTTTTGTTCCTCCATATATTTGTCTATATTTTTTTTTTTCCTTTTTAATAAAACCCCTCTCCTGCAGCTCTGGGAGCGGAGGGGCTGAGCGTACCTCTCGGCGCGGTAATTGTCTCCAGCCTTTCCCTGAACCTGCCGCGGGGGCGGATTCAGAGCCGCCGATGGAGCTGCACTTCATGTTTGTCCTACTCCAGGGGGCCGTGGGCAGGATCCTCTCTCCCTGTCCTCCCCCGCCCCCCCACGCTGCCCCTCGCCCTCGCCTGTGTCCCCTCCTGCAAGCGTGGGGGCGGCAGGGGGGATCGAAGCAGCCCCCCACTTGCTCGGCTTTGCCGGGGCTGCTGTACGAGCAGGTTTTCCCCGGCTCCGTGTGCCCTGCTCGGGACAGATGCCCTCCCCATGCCTGGGAGGTGCAGGGATGCCCCAAGGGCTCACGCCCCACAGGGCAGGCTCTGCAGACCCCCCTCCCCATCTCTGCCGCATCCCGAAGCCCCATCCCGGTGCTACCATTAGGCATGTGGCGTCTTAAACCCCTGGGTGGGAGGATGGGTGGCAGCTGAGGAGATGGCAAAGGAGCACGTGGGTGCAGCAGCCTGGCACCCACCACCTTCCCTCCTGTCAGCCAGGCTTGGGGACACCCCATGTCCCCCTCTTATCCCAGTCCCTTGAAGACAGCAAACTTAAGACAGAGCCTTTCTGCTCTGAGCCCCTGCAGGATGCTGCTCCCCGTCGGGGTCTGGGTGGGGGAGAGCCGTGCTGCCTACCCTGCTTCACACCGCTCTTGGGATGCATCCCCACCCCGACGGCACCGGGAGCATCTCACCGGAGGAGGAACACCACTTCCCACCGCGAGCGGCTGAGCAGAGCAGAGGTGCAGCACTTCGTCCTGGTTTCCCTCTCAAAGCCCACAAAGCAGAAATTTCCCCATGGGAAACCGGTGATTTTTTAATGTGCCAGGATGCACTGGAAACCATCCCAGTGGAAAATCCCCAACCATCTCCATGGCACCTTTACCAGCCCCGTGAAGCCCCTAACTCGGGAACGTGTCTCAGTGCTGCAGCGATACCTGCACCCCCATAGTGGAGGGGAAAGCTGTGGGATGCTCTGAGCTGAGGATGCTGCCCCGAGCGGAGGGGAAAGCTGTGAGATGCTCCAAGCCGGGGATGCTGCCCCGAGCGGAGGGGAAAGCTGTGGGATGCTCCAAGCTGGGGACGCGGTCCTGAGTCACCGGCTGAGCCACACTGCCCCTGCATCACCCCGGGAGGTTGGCTGGGCTGGGCTGGCTGGGTGCGATGCTTGCAGGGGGCCGGCGAGCTGCTGCGTCAGCTTTGCTCCTTTATTCGTGAACATGTTAAAATGCATCTGTTGAGGTGGTTTTACACCGTGGTGCCAGGTGACGCGGGCAGCCCCCGGGTCTGTGTGCTCAGCCCACCGTGTCGGTGCCCAACTAGCAAAGCATCGCACCCCAAACACCTCCAGGAGCCCCTCCTGGTCCTCCCCCATCACACCTGGCCTGCAAGCTCCCCTCCACCTCCCCGCAGCCATGTCTGCCCAGCCAGGGCCCAGCAGCCTCCCCGCTGATGCCCATCAGCCACTGCCCCTCCTGTCCACCCCCTGCCCACTCCCTGCCGCCACCGCAAAGCCTCAAAGCACAGAAAAGCCGAGAAACCTCTGGAAAAAGCAGGTCCCAAACCCCACGTTGCCACCAGCTCCCTGGTGGGTGTCCGTCCCCCTGCCCGCAGCGCCAGCTGGGACTGTCCCCACTGCTCCCTGACCCACTGCTCCCCACCAGCCCTTCGCAGCCACCCCGATGCCGAGGGGATGGATATGCGCATCCCAGGACTGGGGGTCCGCTCGCCTCCAAGGAACTGCACTTTGTTTGTAGCAGCAACCTGTTCCCCACACACACACGCGCATTTGGATGGGGAGTATTAGCGGCATTCAGCCTGTCACAAAGTCCTCCCCTATTTCAGCCTCTTGATTTCTCCATCTTTGTCCTCTCCTTTCTCCCTCGCCCCCGTTTCACACGCCCACACGCGTGCAGGCACACGTTTAGGCGCAGGCTGCCCTGCGCCCGGGCGATGGATGCGGGGATGCG